CTCTTTGTGCTTCCCTTTCTTTCTGAAAGGAAATTGGTACTGCAAAATAACTCTTACTAGTCTGTTAACTTCAGCTATAATTTAGAAGTTCTTTATGCACAAAACAATTTAGTCTCCCTTTCACTTAAACTGATGTTGCTTTTAGGAAGTGTATGGTGTGCAATGGACTGGAGAAACAATTACAGCAAACCAATACCCTTTCACTGTATGGGTATATACGCATGTCCTTTAAATTCACAAAGACTTTTAGTTTGCTTACAATTGATTCAAACACTAGAGATGGTTTTAGGAAAAGTCTTTAAGCTCTCTGGATCTTATCAGAGCATTAGCCACGCTGTCGACAGCACATTCGCAGAGTGCAGGTTAGTCGTTTGAAACTCAGTCTGAGACTATTTGTCATGTCAGGCAGCAGGAGCCATGAAAAACCCATTAAAGGGAAACATTAGCGGAGATATATGACATTTGTCTTGTGAAGCAGATTGTGTTGACTCTCATCATAACACCATCTTTCATGTGACTGGGTTCAGATTCTCCCGTTAAGAGCAGATGTTTAGAAGTTACTCTGACATCACAGAGCAGGATCTTGGCCTTTTTCTTTTAAGTTGCAACAGAACTATACATTTGTTGTTCTCCAACATGCCATAAAAACAGCCGTTTACTGATATACTCAAAAGCCTCTTAAGCATAGAACGTTTTATAATTGCTTCTGACTAACCAGGTAAAGATGGTCATCTAGTGCGTGCATGGTGGATGAAGGCAGGATTTGGGAAGGACGGGGAGTCATTTTGCACTCATCAAGCTCAAAACGCCTCCCATTGTTTCCATGGTAACAGGAAGCACTCTGCACTGGCAGCATATTCCTTGTGGAGCCAAGCCGTTTGCTGTTCAAACGCAATTTATTTTTCCGATTGAGCGTGCAGACCTCTGGTTGTGTTTGTTTGCTCTCAAGAAGTTTTCCGATATGTAGAGCGAGCAGACGAGGGACAGCAGAAGGACAGAGACATAAAGAGTGAGAGAGAACATTTTATGGCTTTAAGGTTATCAGCACTCAGACAGTGAGTGGGAAAACTTCTCATCCAATGCGTTCTCTATTTAATCAAGCAAAACGCAACCAAGGCCACGACTGTCAAGTGGGGATGAAAAGTTCTAGATTAAAAGACTAGATTTCCATTCAACAGTAAATATCCATTGTGTGTCATTAGCTAAATGGTTGTGATCTGCCAACAGAGAGAGAAAATACAAAGATACAGACAGAAAAAAGATAGAAGACTTTGAGGTTGCTGGAAGTTAATGGCCCTGATGGATTGTGGTTCTCAGAGAAATGAGACACATCCTTCACCTTCCTCCTAATTCCATTAAAAATCTCATTCCGGCAAATCAACCAAACTTTTCTCGGTCACAAACAAGCTCATAACCCTGAATGCTTGCACACATACGCACACAAACACACACACACCCACACACACACACACACACACACACACACACACACACACACACACACACACACACACACACACACACACACACACACACACACACACACACACACACTGCTGGTTGAGTCAGTATCGTTTCATTACCCTCGAGAGGATGCAGAGCGTGTCCTAAATCTGTTCCCACAAGATAGTCAAGGATGAGAGAGCTCAAGTAATGCCCTTCACATCTAACAGCAGCTTTGTAAATAAAGTACTTTGCAATACATAATGCAAGCTTGTATACTAACTCATACATCATAACACTCTTGTTCCTTAGCCAGACAGCTGAAGTCCTTAAAATGATGCCGGTGCATGAACAGAAGATACCTGAGGGTCCCAAAGGTGAAGCCAATGGGGAAATGCTTTAAACCTGCTTTATTTACATGGCCATCACAGAGGGAACCTACTGGTTTCAAAAGAAGTCAGATTGTATAGAAGACAATAAAAAAATAACTATTACTTTGGAATAAATTATTACTTCAGTGAATATTTTCCTATTTTTTTTTTTTCGTAATCCAAAAGAAAATCGCTTCGTATGCTTTAGGCGTGGCTACCTTCTTTGACTACCGCGATGTTGTTGGGTCAGGGTGTTCTCTTTGTTTTTGTTATAGAACTTACTAGCTTACTATACTAAACTATACCCTTTTGTGTTCCAAGTAAGATGAAAATCAATCACACCAACAAAGTGACTTTTACATACATTTAGGAACTCTTTATGTGAGGCTTTGCTGCGTTGCTGTAGGAGACGGTAAAAAGCAATGACAAATGTTGCATAGCGTGAACCCTAAATGAATACCGACCGTTACACACTGTGACACTGTAGTCCGCCGGGCCTGCAATACACAAGCTGACAATCTCACAACTACACTGATTGAAGAGGTGGAGACGAAGTAGTGAAGAACCTGCATTCGTCCAGTACAATGAACGCAACAACTAGGCTGCTAACTCTCCCAGTGGGTGAACTGGGATTCAGTTCCTGTTTAGCGCATACGTTAGAGCTGGCGATACATAATGGGTTTAATCTGATTGTGCCATTGATTATTGTTTCTGCTGGGCGGCTTCTTGGTTGCTTCAATTACTGCAGCCCTGCATGCAAGGTTGTCGGTTAACCAAGGTCAACTATCGATCAGGGAGAATGAATCTAATTTTACACGTAGCATTGTGATGCCTTGTTTTGCTTTAGTGTATGCTTTGAAGTTTATATTGTATATATATATGTGTGTTGGTTGCCTTGGTGATGCTTATTCTGCAGTATTTTATTGACATAGATAAATAATGCTTGTTGCAACCGCATGTTGTCCGTAGCTCTTTTTTTATGTATTATTTGTCATTTCTGTTTATTTGTAATTGTATTGGATGTTGTCCTCACTTCTGGTGCATTCGAGTGATGCCATACTGAGGAAGGTGGTGTCATATTCATAATTGATCAACAGTTTTATTGGCAGGCTTCAATGTCTGTGTTTACTGAAAAAGACTGCTTTCATCGTATTTTACTTTGACATATCAATGCACTTTTAAAACATTTCTAGAAGTGTTATTTAATTCAATAGTTTCATCATACAACATCATTGTCTCACCTCCTTTTTACAAAATGCAATGTGGTTTTATATGTTCTGATTTACATTTCAACAGGTTTTCTTTTTCCTTTTATTTGAGAACCTTGTTATACAAGTAGCTTGAATTTGACTTGAGGAAATTATTCTCGTACTGTTTCCATCTGTGGCCCAATAGGCCGCTCTGGCGTAAGTAATTTGGGGTAGAAAACATCCGGCATAAATGCAGTAACATCCTGCGTAGATGTGTGTCAGAATTCTTAAGCAAAAGAGAACTATTCGGGGACTGAGGGGATGATGTGTGCACTCTGGCAAATGAGCATTCATTTTGAACTGCATCTGACCTGAAAACAGTGGACAAATGAGGAGAAATATTGGTGATACAAGGTCATGATAATATATTATAGCAATAATAAAGAATTCTTTTTTTATTCTCCTCTTCTACCACTATCATTTATCCAATGATGGTGTTGTTTCAATTTCAAAGCCATTCAAAACCCCTTTTTCTGACAGGTTCAGCACAGCAAATCTTCCACTTGGCCACTCTCAACTGATTTTATCACACCTACAAAGTGGGTAATCACAAGTGGAAAACGGAGGTGGACCACTCAGCTTTTTCTCAATTCTCTTCATCGTTCCCATTGCTCACCATCAATCTTTTCCCTCTCAGGATTCCTCTCATGTCCAGCTTTGTTTTTCAGGTTCATCTCTCATGTGATTCTCCCACTTCATCTATCTAGTGATTTGTAGTAGGCTACCTCAAACAGGGCCCATCTGAAATGACGTTGCATCAGCCGGGGAGCATTTAACCAACATAAATGTCAGACTTTTATGTGTAATTAAAGTCACTACCTTTGAAATCCACACTAGGGGCTGGTGTTAATAGCCCAATATGTGATTGTAAATGTAACAATGTCTTAATGTAACCCAAAGGTCATTTATTTGGAGATATAGAGTTAGTCATTCATTTATTAAGACACTTTTAAACTAATAGACCATCCTAATACTGAGTTATTTCTCCCTGCAAGTGTCCTAAGCCAGCTGGTTTCTCTGGGTAATGAACAGAAGTTAATGTAGGGTGCAAAATGACTGTGAGATCAGAAGAGATGAAAGAGCAAGTGAAGTGTGGACCACTCACCATGTATTATATATCTCTGACTAATTGTGACAGGTTACAGAAGATATTTTTTAAATGATGTCCACAAACGACCACATTCGGCATTAAAGTGGGCTAGATTTAGGAGGGGAAAGCAGTTCAATACATATAATTTAAGTCTCTGAAGTTGTCATGTAAAAAACAAATAATACTTACCACTATAGTAGTCTTTTGTAGTAATGTGTTTGAAGTTGTGTTTAGAACTTTCATCACAAAGGTTGTATGGCAACAGCTTGTTGTAAGACCATGTTCAAAACTGATTCAGGCCTCATCTAATTTACATTACATGCACACTAATGTACAAGGAAACAGGACACTGCCACAGAGCATGAAGCCAGCAGCATCTGACTGGATATATGGTGCAGGCATAATGTTTTTGTTAAGTGCTCACATGATTTGCAGTCTTTTCAAGTTTTATCCATTGTGGCAAATTGGACGAAGGAGAAGGAGAGAGACAGCGTTGCTGTTTCAACAGACAACATGTCATTCCTCTGTCTGTTTTTATGGATATATTGGGTGCTTTCTGTACATTTCCTCTCCTTTTCCTCAATCGACTCGCTGTTTTGCACGCTGGGGCAACTTGCTGTGAGGTTGGAGATATTTTACGCACACACTGCAGCTGAGCGTTGTCAAGAGCACTGCATTCCCATGTTCTCACATAAACACACTCACACACGTGCACACCTGTCTTTAAATGATAAACACAGCAACAGGTCGCCGTCCTGTCCTTTCTCACTTACACAGAGAAAAACAACTGTGTAAAAGGCCTAATTAGTGTATCACACACATTTTGTAAGAACTTTGCTGTCTTACCTGACGATGATATACATGACCAGCACGTTTCCAACTAGCCCCACCACGCACACTATGGAGTAGAGAGCGGTGATAACGATGGCTATGATGACCGGGTTGGTGTCGTCCTCCAGGCGGCCGGTCAGCCCTCGCTCCCCGTCGCATCTCGCCTCCACGAAGCCGCTGGTGGTGTTGTTGTTTTCACTACTGAAGTTCCCACAGAAGCTGCTGTTATTGTAAAGCATGGAGACATGGCTCTGGAGGAGCGTTTCCGAGTTGTTGCTTGCGCTCTCCATGGTCCTCGTGTGTTGTGTGGCGCACGGGAGTCTCGCCTGCCCTTGGGTGCCTGTCAGCGGACTGTGTGCATGTGAAGCCCCGTTGGGTGCTTTACTGTTGTTTTGCCTTCGCGAGCGCTGCGTTTCAGCCGCGGGACGCACCGCCGGTAAAGCTGACCGTGGTGAAGAATGTGGGCGCGTGCGATGAGGCGGGTGAACACCAGCATGCGCGAGTTTACTAACGACCCCCGCGCAGCAAACTGAGCCTGTACGGTACAGAAGCCACGACGTGAAAATGAGTTAGTTCGCTCCCTTCTTTTAATCCTGCCTAGGCTCCTTCCTCCCTTCTGTCCTCCCCTTTTGCTTCCTCTTCCTGGCTCATATCATTCCTCCCTTCCATCCATACTTTTTTCCTTCCTTGTTTTTTCACCAATAGTATCATTCCTTCTTCTCTTCTTTCCTCAAGGCCTTTCCCCCGTTTTCACTGACCTTTGTTCATCCCTTAATTATTTCCCTCCTTTTCTCCCCCTCTTGCTTCCATTCTCTTTTTTTAGGGGGCAATGCATGGAAGCATACTAGACGTATAACTAAATGTTTTACATGTGAAACATCCGACAGCACAAGAGAACATTAAATATGTTGGATAATAAAACACTACGACAGCAGCAAGTAAAGGGACAGTGATGCACGATGACAAGGAGTCCTGGGATTATCTGTCAAGTTATCCGTGCATGTACGTGTAGCGATTTGATGAGTCTCCTCAGTCCTGATTTTGGTTTCCTGTGCTGTATCCTAATCAGTGAAGCCGAGCGCGGGAATGTAGCACAGTGTAATCCAATAGGGATTGATTTTAATCAAGATAATGTCCCTGCTTGTCTCATTACAGTTTCAGAGAGGCGCAAAATGGACAAATATCATTTACTAAACGTGCTGGGGGCCTGTTCAACATAACCAGTACTCAAAGTCATTATTATAAATGTGTTTTTACAGTCCCTTCAATCAACAAAATTCCCACAAAAAACCTTGTTAGCTAATGGTATTATGTGTGAAAGCAGATCAAACCTGAACAGCGGCAGGACTTTAAAGCTTTATTGTTGCAGATAAGCAGAGATAATCACATCACTTTAAATGCATAGGGATGTTTTCAAATACCCAAAAACAGGGTTTCATTTAGTTGGGATGTTGCAGCTGCCCTTCTGTTCTTTCACACAAAGAAATATGTCCTTTCAGTTCTCAGCTTGATATTTTAGAAGGTATATTTACTTATGTGGCTTATGATTGAGCAGTCTTTGAAAAAGGTCAACTTCCTGTACTGTGTTTTGTGCCGATAGGTACAGTATGATTCAACAGTGTGAGATGTAGGCGCTGCAAACAGAGCACAGATGGTCGTCAAATTTCAAGGACAGATTCTGATCCATCAAGAGTCAAGACTTTCTTAACACAAAAGGGAATTTCATACGGAGAATACTGTAACCTTCGGAAATACACACTTCACTTGTTTGTAAGGAATGAAGAAGTAAGGACTGTGTATTTTCTCCCTTGCACACTTTACAAATGTATCTCTTAATAGCAAAGCTTTATAGGAAACATTTGGTCATATATTTAGTAATGTTTCTAGAGTTGAAGCACCCTTAGGGAGTTTACATCCTAAAGGTAAAACGTACACTTGTAATGCTTGATTTCTGGAATTAATTCCAGAATCCACTAAAATGTAATTCATCGCATTGTAGAGAAGGCTTTGAAACCCCTTCATCTAGGTGATAAATATGTAACTTAGTTGTTAAACATTTTCTTACATTACAATGTTTTGTGTAGCTCATAAGTAAAGATGGGTTCACTCCATGCCGACAAGGTTGCTTTGGCAGAGGGGGGATATAGGAGAATCTCTATTCTCAGAACCATATTCCAAAGTTTTGGATGGGTCTGCACGATATGATTGTTAAGTGCAATACTTAGAAAAGTATTCTCGTTGTCAACAAAAACAGGTCAGCGGGACATGAGAGTTTAGAGAAACAAAGATTGAATCAGTGCCAGAGATAGTCTGCGACACTATGAACCATGGGAATGGTTTCAAACTACAGTAAGACCCAAGGGAATCATCAGGAAGAGCAGGCGGTCTGGAGAGTTTGTTAAGATCATTCGGATGTTCTTGTCATGACAAAACTCGGCATCTCATGCAACTTATCATACTACATTACGTATGCCAGTGGGTGGGGAAAAGCAGTATATATGTGTGTGATATTTGTATTATCAAGGGCTCTTGTTATTGTCGCTGTGTTGCACCATATTTGAAACTAAAACCCGTCGGGCTTCACTCTTCAGATCTGCCTCTCGTCTAATTTTTTCTCGCCACAACAGGCTTTGCATTAATGATGAAATATAAATACTATACATTAAAACAGGTTTATTTTAAAGGAACCTTTAACTCCTGCTGAAATAAAACTTGAAAAATAACAAATAATTCCACCACTGCTTCAACTCTTTTAATGTACATTTGGGAATGCAAGTATTCCAATAAGACACATTACAAAATGATTTGTTGAGTTTTCAAAAAAAGTGGCAGAAATTACAGAAATGCATTAAAGTCTATTTACGCACTCTGTCATTCCCACAGAGATACTTGAGTATGCAATTTGCTTGAGGAGCTGTTGATGCGGGATGCTGTAGTGAAAGTCACTCTCATATCATTGATATTCCTTTGAAGCGCTGCCAGCAGATTCACGTATTTCGGGTGCAGCAGTTGGAGCTATGGGGGTTTAGCCTGTTGCCATGGTGAGATGAACACTGCCTGTCACAGTAACAACACCCTCACAGTCTCTAAAGGTAAGTTGTGTGGGTTTCTACAGCATGCAGGTATTTTCCAGTGGAACTTGGATTATGGCAGACAATAAGTTCTTCAGCAAATAGCTTTGTTCAGAAGGAAAATCTTCACAAAGGAACACCACTTTTATGAATGTTAAGTGTTGATGCATTTGCCAGAAGGCTTTAAACAAACTACACCAAAGCCAAAGCTTGAAACTCAAGGCTTTAAAACTGTAGTACACCGAACAATGTTTGACGTTACAGGGACTATGTGCACCTCTTATACAGTCTATGGTTCAGATACAATCCAACCTGTGGAAACCTAAAAGGAACTGCTTGACGGTCCGATTGCATAGAAACCTGAAACAGACCTCATTATACTTGACAATTACATTCAAAAGATGCTGAGATAAAGCATTTCTCGATTATGGATATTTAAAAGGCCTCTATTCTGCTCATTTTCATGTTCAGGCTCAATATCCGGCCTCATTGTGCCTATCACGTACAATGTGTTGAAACGCTACGTAGTGATGTCACAAAGTTATGGAAATGAACAGAGGAGTCCAATGGAGGCGTTTCAGGCGAGGGGGGGGGGTGTGAGGTAGAAACTCCCTCTGGATGGAGATTTTTAGCCTTTGAAGACCATTTACATGCACAAAAACCTACGGGAAAGGGAAACCCCAAAAAGCACAATAGTGCCCCTTTAAAGCACTCAGTCTTTGTCTATTAAATAATTTGTAAATGTACGGTAGTGTGACTCATTCAGTTCTGCTAAACTCTTACACCATTCCTGGTTCTTTATATCTCTTTACTGGTTCTAAAACGCTTTACAAATAACTTTGAATGCACTTTTGCAGCTTTTGACAGCGATATAAGAATCTGGCAATCAGCGGATATGTGAAGCTAACAAACTGATCTGAGGCCAAAGTGTGGGTGTAGTAGTTAAAATTACCGCAGATTGATTTAATGGGTCAAGAGGAACAGAGTCTAAAAAAAGTATGATTGCATCCGACAATCAGACAAGCAGCACTGATACAGAGGGACAGTGGAGGAAAGTCAACCCAATGAATGAATCAGAGGCATTCAACCAAAAGAGCCAATCAGAAGGGAAAAAATGAATCTTTGCGAATGTGACGATATTTCAGGTTATTTTCTACTACAGTCTAGAGAGTTTAGTCTGATTCATGCGACCTAATACAAATGACACTTTGACATAATGTTACATTTCATTTTTGCTACACTGTAAAAAAAAAACCGTTGTTTTTACGTAAAAAACCTGGCAGCTTGGTTGCCAGAATAATGATGTAAAAAATACAGTAAACTGTAAACAACTTTACAGAACAATGTGTACATTTTACAGTTTAAAACTGCTGTATTTTTTTGTTGTATTGGCTCTTGAAGCTCATGTATCACAAGACTCCAGACTGTAAAACTCTAAACATAACATTTAATTTGCTCAAATATAACTTCAAAACACTCAAACTAAATAGTCGTGTCAATGCAATATTTGTTATCATATATTCAAAATCTGATAAGGAAAACAAATAAACAGTTTTTATACAAGTTTTATACATCTTTAAACATTATTTGATGGTAGTGTTTTAAATATTTCACAATTGTTTATTGGATCCTATAAGATATATATGATAGCTTTGCAGTTTGGTAAAATCAAGCTATTTTAAGAAGAGGGGCATGATTTTGAGTACTGTTTTTTGGGGGAGATTTTGGAAGCTTGGACAGAATGTTTCAATTTATTTTGTTAAGAGATTTGACAAACTGATCTATAACTTCAGTAATCATAAATGACAGCTGAGTTTTTTTGTTGAGCCGCTCGATAGAAACCAAGCAATTAAGAGTAATAACACCCTTCTATGTATGTCTAGTGTTGTTTGCAGAAGGTGTGGGGACTGGCTTCTGGTTAGTATTGAACGCAGCTCGGTGTATTTCTGAACTTGACCAATTAGGATGTTACAACTCCCTTTCTTTAGCGCTCACGAGAGCCAGTACATTGTACAGCTTTCTGATTCCTACTTGACTTATTGCAAACCTAATTTCAGATGTCCAGAAACTCTTGTCTATAAGCCCCTTTGCGACTTTACTACCTGCCACAGGTATTTGTACAATTATTTGACATGTGAAAGCAAACAAGAATAGAATATAAACAAGTGAGGAAAAATCTAATACGAGGACAAGATATAGTCCGTATTATATCACACAAGTGAAACTGAAAGATTGTGGTAAAAGGATGTCCACTTTTTAAATAATGTATGTAAGAAATGTTACTTTAAAAGGATTTCTTAACTACACTCATGACAGATTGACGTTATTGTTAACTGGGAGATACTTTGAGAGCGATTCGCAATACAGTAGGGTTTAAACACAAAGGGAGAAAATCAAAGGCACCAAAAAACAAAAGGTACAAATTGTAACATTTACGAAATAAAGGGTACAAAAA